CTTTCTTTGTGAGAGGACCATATTAATGAAACCAACCTCAATGACATCACAGAGATCCCTAAAGATGCTCCTGCTGTTTTTCTTCCTCCTCATCCAAAGCTTCCTTCTCCTTGTCCTCGACTTCCATCCAATTGTAATTCAATCTAATTGTGTTTCTCCCTCCTCTTCCTCATTTTGTTGGAGCTGTGAAAGGAATTAGTGTGAATCTGAATTCATTTTTGCAAATGTGAAAAATCAGCTTTTCGGTCAGAGATGCTCTTGTGATTTAAGCTGGGAAGAGTAGATTTATGTGTTGATGCTGCCTGCTTCATCTCTACGACTGGTTGCTGAGTGATATTTACACCCCGGCTGGATTACAAACTTTAACCACGTGTTGAAGTTTGGCCCAGCGTTGATACCTCTTGTATAGTATAGTATAGTATAGTACTTGTATAGTATAATGACCTCTTCTTGGCTTAATGTATGATGGTGGATAAATGAAATGTACAAAGAAAATTTAACTATATCACAAAAGATCATCTATCTTTGAAACATCAAATGACCGGAGCACAACTTGTCAAGTAGTCTGAAAATAAGTTATACAGTAACAGTCAAAGACACACCTTCTCATGTGTCACATTCTATTCATTCAAAACACTTACGCATAGCTGTGTTTTATACAGCTCTTACAGACTGCAAAGTACAGGCTGATGTGAGTATTTAATGTAAGAGTTTCTAGAGCAGACACAGCGCTCATGTCAAACAGGCTTCATGCGCCCTTTTAGTGACTTTAACAATATTATAAATTTTAATATCGGTCTAGCTGACATTACGTTATGTACGCAGCATGCAATTTGAGAAGCCAAAGGTTCAAATTAGCTGGGAGCACCTTCACTTAATTATAACAGTGGTTTTGTTAGGAAAACAGTTCTGTATACCGGATACTAAATTGCGTTAACATCAGCGGCTAACATATCTAACATAGCTAACCCTTGTTGTTAGCAGAGCATTAACAGCAAGCTACAATGACGAGTAACAAAAACAAAACAGTAAAAAGGTTTTAATGAAAATGTTTTACCTTTTCCAACAGTCCCAGAATCCAGAGCTTCAAAGACCAGCAGGTACTGAAGACTGTTATCCGCTTTGCTGTCACCGACTGTGAGAAAGTGTTTTTTCCCTTACAAAGTTCAAGGCCCGCCGGTCGCACAATCTGTCTGCGCATGTGCATCCCAACAATTGACGCCCCCCCCCTCTCTCTTTCGGAAGGTTGCCACAGTATGACGTGTTCTAACGTGACTCTCTCTCTCTGTCATTTATTTGGCTCGAAACACATATTAACAAATTGCTCAGTGATAAACAAGTACTCAGATCCTTTACCTAAGCAGTTTGCTTTGTCAAAACTAAGTAAGTGTGTCGATAATGAACACATAAGTGTGTTCACTACACATAAGTGTGTTCATTACACTGACATTCTGTTGTACAATTGTTATTTACTTATATTTTATAATTTGACTTTACATACTGCTGGGTGGTTTGTAAAGTTTACAATAATTAGTATTATCATTTTGCTATATTTTCTAATATGTATAATAATCTCAAAAGTAATGCCTTGAAACAGAAAATAGTAATACTTTAATAAAACTTAAAACTAAAGTACAGTAAACGTCTTAATAATAAATTCCATATTCTATTACCACATTATTTGTGATCAGTGGGTTTGCAGGGTTAGGGGTGTTGGGGGTAGAGTCTTTAGGCTTTGGCCCCCACCCCTGCCACCAGTATATTTTTAAGCAAGTATTTCTAACTTTTATTTGAATATTCAGTTTCCTACCATCTGCTCTTAAAGGGTAA